TAACAGGAGTCTTGCATGGGGTTGCCTCTCTCTTGTTTCTCCTACTAACAGCCAACTTCTTATGATTACCCTCTCACTAGTCATATAATCTAATACCTCCATATTCTAACATTCTACCTCATAAACATCTCAGCCAACTACCCAGGCCCCCTTCTACCATTAGAAACTCTAAACCGTTATGCAAACCTATTGACCATAAGGTAGAAGATAACCGAACTCATCATTTCTAATTATAGTGACAAAACTGTAATGTAAAAATAGAAGCTAACCAATATATGGCTGCTCGCTGGGTACATTGAGTGCTGTAATATTGATCTCTCCCTTAAAGGTGAGGTATTGGTAACCTATAGGCCTACTATAAGACAATAGGGCAGAAGCTGTAATACCTCAAATCTATACTCAAGTGAGGAAGACTCATAGACATCATGAAAAAACAAGGGAGGAAAGTATCCCAAACAAACCACAACACTACAACAATAGAATCCATAGATAGTGCAGTAGGTGAAATGTCAGAGAAGGAGTTCAGAACATACATAACTAAAATGATTTGGGAATTGAAGAATGACCTAAGTGAGTAGATGCAGGCAAAAATTGATCACTCCAACAAAGAGATAAGAGAACAAATTCAAGTTGCAAGAGATTACTTAAAGAAAGATAGAGATACTGAAAAAAAAAACAGAAATCCTCAAAATGAAAGAAACAATAAGCCAATTAAAAAAAACTCTATAATTTATAGCATCACCAACAGACTAGATCACTTAGAAGTCAGGAACTTAGACAATGAAGACAAAATATACAATCTTGAAAATAAAGTTGACCTCACAGTGAAGATAGTAAGAAACCATGAACAGAATATCCAAGAATTATGAGATACCATTAAAAGACCAAATTTAAGATTTATTGGGATAGAGGAAGGTTCCGAGATTCAAACCAAAGGAATGCACAATCTCTTCAATGAAATAATAGCAGAAAATTTCCTAAGCATGAAGAATGAACTGGAAAATAAAATACAAGAGGCCTACAGGACACCAAATGTACAAAATTACAACAGTTCTACACCAAGACACATTATAATGAAAATGCCTAGCCTACAGAATAAGGATAGAATTTTAAAGCCTGCAAGAGAAAAAAATCAGATTACCTATAAGGGAAGACCAATTTGTATCTCAGCAGATTTTTCAACCCAGACTCTCAAAGCCAGGAGAACCTGGAACAACATATACCAAGGTATGAATGCAAATGGATGCCAACCAACAATCTTATATCCAGCAAAATGAAGCTTCAAATTTGATGATGAAATAAAAATCTTCCATGATAAATAAAAGCTAAAAGAATTTACAGCAAGAAAGTCTGCACTACAGAACATTCTTGGCAAAATGATTCCATTGGGAGGAAATAAAAAACAACAGTGAAAATCTGCAAAGGGAAGAACTACAATAAGGGATAAGCCAACCAAAGGAGAAACCAAGTCAAGCTAAATATCAAAAATTTTTAAAAAATGAGCTGTAATATAATTCATGTCTCTTTCAACTCATTTTAATAAATTTTTACACATAATAATTTTAACTATAATATCATCTAATTTTTAAGCTTTTGTTTATTTCATATTATTTTGTTTTCCATTTCTCTTCACAAAGTTACACAAATATGTTCTTTAAAAGTTTTAGCATTTTATACATTATATTTTAACATGTAATTAATTTGGTATGTGAATATACATTCCCTGTGATATGAGATGAGGTATATTTCACTCTCTTATAATTAGAAATCATTATTCAAGATTCAAGGATGAAAAAGCTTAATCAGAGTAAAAATTGTTTAATAAGGTATTTATAAAGGTAAGGGAGAGGTTGAGAGAAACTAACAAATTTTGTGAAGCACCTTTCCTTTTGTAAAATTGGAGAGGTGAGAGGTGAAATAAGAGAGAGCCATTATGAAAAACTTGTAGGAGAAGGTGATCTAACTGAAGTTATTCCCACCAAAAGCAGGTAGAAAACAACTCACAGTCTAATAGAGTCTTTTTTTTTTATAAAGAGAGAGGGAGGGAGAGAGAGAGAGAGAGAGAGAATTCTTTTAATATTTATTTTCTTAGTTCTTGGCAGACACATCCCTGTATGTGGTGCTCAGGATCTAACCCAAGCTGGATGCATGCCAGGCGAGCGTGCTACCACTTAAGCCACATCCCCAGCCCCCTAATAGAGTCTTATAGGGAGGAATACAACACCTTGCTCTACTCTTGTATATTTTAAGTACATCTCTTTGATGTCCCTTTCTGATGGAACTCAACAAGAAACCACATAACAAGAGGACTTATCATGCAGCCTACAGCATATGTCTCACCAAAAGGTGAAAGATGGAGAAAGGAGCCAATATGGGAGCCATTGGTTACATGAGGCTACTGAAATTTGAAATGTGTCTAGTCTGAATTGAGGTGTGCTATGTATGTGTTAAATAGACATTAGATTCCAAAGACTTACTGGGACAAAGAAAATGAACATGAAATACTTTACTTATCTTACTAACAATTATTTTCTTTGCAAATTATGTTGGTAATCCATTGGTTTAAATGAAAATGTATTAAAATTAATTTCTCTATTTGTTTAAAAAAAAAGAAGTAAAGGAGCACAAGCTAACCTATTCTGTATCTTGACAGTAGTACTATATATCCATATATATGTTGTCATTTTTTATATTTGTGTTATCAAAATTCATATAACTATAAAACTAAACAGGATAAATTTGCCATATATAAATTATATCTCAACAAACATGACTTTAAAAAAAAATCTAGTTCATGAAGTATTTTAACAGTATTGGGCACATACTAACCACCTGATAATAATGGCTGTTATTATGATTCATTAAAACAACCAGCATCAAGATGTTTCATGGTGGGGTAGGGAGGGAGAGCATGGGAGGAATAGAAAAACTCTAGATAGGGCAAAAGGGTGGCATGGGAAGGGAGGGGGCAGGGGGTTAGAAATGATGGTGGAAAGTGATGGTCATCATTATCCAAAGTACATATATGAAGACATGAATGGTGTGACTATACTTGTACATAACCAGAGATATGAAAAGTTGTGTTCTATATATGTAATATGAATTGTAATACATTTTCCATTGTCATATATAACAAATAAGAATAAAAATAAAATAAATAAATAAAAAAGAAAAGAATGGAACTTCAAGAATAATATCATCTGCTGATTGGCTGTTGCATTATTATTATTATTATTATTATTATTATTATTATTATTATTATTATTATTTGGTACTGGAGATTGAAATCAGGGGTGCTCAACCACCGCTGAGCCAGTCCCTAGCCCATTTTTTGTGTTTATTTAGAGATAGGGTCTCACTGAGTCGCTTAGTGCCTCACTCTTACCCAGGCGAGTTTTGAACTGGTGATCCTCCTGAGTCGCTGGGATTACAGGTGTGTGCCATGGTGCTTGGCTGCATTGTTCTCATTTATGAAATTGTATGATTAGTAGAACCTACTGGAATCTTTTCTACTTTGGCTTGGTGTTCCTACCCAAAAAAGAAAAACTTGCCTAGAAGTAATTGTAATTTTTAAAAAATTGGTGTGAGAAACACCTGCACTGCATAAAAAACAATGATGCAATTGAATTGTGGGGTATGAGGAAAGCACATTCAGACAAAATTCCATGTTTGCTATGAGATTGAAGGGGGAGCGGAAAACTTCATGGATCTATTCAACTCTGCCTTTAACAAGAGGAATGCATTGACTGCACTCATTTCAACCTAGAAAAAAACAACTTCCTCTTTCTGATGCCATTTTTTTTCCATATCTAATATCATCTGTTTGCCACTGGTAGTCCCCTTCACCATGAGTGAAGGTCACATCGAGGCAACATATGTGGCAAGGAAAATACAAAGATGGATGAGTCATGATGTGTAGCCCCTCTGAAAGATCTTTGGACATTCCCTATTCACTGAAATATGGATAGAATATAGGTAGCCATCTGGAAAGGTTTAGCATATGTCAATGTCCATCCTCCTAAACCAAGATAAAGTTAAATTTCCCCAGGAGCTAATTTCACCGGAAATAAAGGACCCATCTCTTCCCTTCCAATGAATGGTGAAAAGGTAAGATATTTTTAGAACATTACATCTCAGAAGGCTCATCAGGATACAGTATTTGGGGTAAAAAATGGAATTTGAGTCTCTGACACTTATCAGTTGAATCATGAACAAATTACTTGAACTCATTAAGCTTTAGTTTCCCATCCGTATAATGGGGTGGTGGTCCTCCCTTTTTAAATAATACTGCAAATATTTCATAAGTTCATACGCACACGTATAAAACCGATGGCACAAAGTTGGGTTAACATGCTTTATAGAGGAAGTCAGTGTTCAGAGCATAAGCAAAATGGGGGCCTCCAAAATGAGAAAAAAAAAGCATAAAATTATTTTATTTTTTAAAAGGAAATTATTAAACTAGATATCCTCATTAAAAAAAAGATTGCTTATGTTTACTCACACTTTTAAAAAGTATGTTTGACACTTTGGTGCTGTCCTATTTTAAGTCACACATGTAGAAATGGCCCCAACTTCTCAGTGCTTGGTTACTTAAAGGACATTTGACTCTCTCTTGTCTCTTCCTCTCTCCCTGGAGTCTCTCCTCCTGGGACCTCACCCAGTGGCACTGAGCCATTTTATTAAATTGAATATGCACAGATATTTAAATACATTTATGCTGGTGTACTTGGGATCCAGCTTTTGATTCATTGTGAGTTTTCCCCTTAAAATAATTCAAGGCCATGCATATCTGTGTCTCTCCTATTTGTTTACTTTCTGTCTGTGGTCTTTTGGCTTATATTTTTCTATATTGCTTGATATATTTTCAAGTTCACAGCCCCTGATGTCTGGTGGAGTTTTCTGGCCTATTATGCAGAAAACAAATCAATATCTATTCAAAAATGTAGAAAACTAACTACAAATTCACAGGTGGTAAATATTTAAAATATAATGGAACTCACGGGTTTTCCACTTTCTGACATTTTCGTTATGGAGGCAAATTGATGTACAGCAAAGCACACCAGGTAAGTGCTCATTGGAACAGACTTCTGAAAAGTTGTTCGAATCCATTGGTTATCCACTGACTCTGATATCTATAGAATACAAAAGATAATTTTTCATTTATTAAGAGATCAATCATGTCTAAGACAAACTAATGGTGACCCCCCCCCCCAACTCTTCTCTCTACTCAGGAGCTTTGCCAAAGCTCAGAAGTAAAAATTTTTGTGGTGATGTTGAAAAGACTAAAGGAAAATTCACATTATTTTAAGTATTGTGAAAGAGTAACTGAATTATATGCAGTATTGGGATTCTCTAGGAAAAACAGAATTTGGACTATGATGTCAATTGGATGAGAGTTTATCTTTCTACACTAAACAACAATCCTCACCATAATATTTTAGGGGGTATTTTGATCTGTTAATAAAGGATAGGCTAGTGTTTAATACTGTCAGGGAGAAAGAACTTTGTAAATGTTTGCTGACTTGAGTACATGCCGGAGGGGAATCACTCTATCAAGAAAAAATGAATGGTGGCTTCTCTTCTCCACTTCTAGTTGTCTACATAGAAGACCCAAGATATGGCCTCTAAAGTCAGTGCCTTGGTTACCATGGACAGAGAGAAGGATTCCAGTGCTTGACATACTCCTTCTTTGTCTGTTTTTTTTTTTTTCCACACCAGCTCTGCAGTCCTCCCTGTCAATCATGAATCCTAATACTTAAACAATGAATGCTTTCTCAATTCTTGGTACCATTGTTTAAATGCTTCCACTTCCTCTTATAGCTTCGATCTAAGTGGGAAGCTTTACAAAGAGATTAAATGAGGGAGGCTGAACTAGAATGGATCTATGATTGACATTACGTGTATGTGCTTATAGAAAAGTGCTGGGGTTCCAGTAACATAGTCACTCCACGATGAAAGACGAAGAGTATTAGTGTTGATCTCCTAATGACCTGAAAATTTTCCCTTTCCCAGCTCTATTGTCTGGATCTAGAAGAAGGTCAAGAAATATAACTCTGTGAAATGAAAGGTAATGTAGGGAGACTGTGAGCCGAGACTGGTGAGTTTGCTTTCCCCCTCCCATTCTCTTCCCTCATTCATGCCAAGACATTCTGATGATGCTGTACCCTGAACCCATCTTCTGGGTCAATGTGTCACACTTTAACTTTATTCTTTCCTCTCTCTTCTCCAACCAAAACTTAATTTCTCATGTGCCTGATACCAAAAGAAATCAAGTTTAGAAGCTAGTTCACATGGAGGCATGGATGGCTGACGACAGTTTACATTTTAACCCTCTAATGTTTTTGTTTTGTGGTTTGTCTTTCCAAGGGATATTTTATTATCAAAAGAGAAGAATTTCAGTGATGACATTTCAGGCAGTGAATCAGAAAGATCAGAGGTATAATTTCAGCCTCCGTGTCCTTCTGGTACTAAATAAATGATAATTATACCTAAAGATGAGACCTATTCTTTGACATGTCAAATGTATAAAGTATGTTGAACTTCAACTTTGAGGTAATGATATTCTAGTTAACTACATTACCAATTATAGAGGAAAGAGTCTTATGTTAATTAATGATTACACAGGCAGAAATTAGTGTAGCCTGTTATTTATCCAGCAGTTGACAAACATTTCCTGTTCTCAAAAAAAACAAAAAAACAAAACAAAAAAAACCTACAGGCATGGTCTTTGCTGGAGTTGGCTTCTACAACCCAGTATTTAAGATTTTTCACAGTAGTTTTTCGGTGTTTAAAAACTGGGTTTATATTCAGCTGAAAATAAAACTACTGAGTTTTATTTTAGGCCCAGAAATATTTCTAAGCCTGTAATTCCATTAGTTTGTCATGAATTCATCATTATTAGGGGATTTTGTGAGTTGAGCAAAGTCCCAGCCAATGGATGTCTACTGTTTTCTCTTCTGCACAGAAACATGGAGGTGACTTCTTTACTGGACTGTGATTACTAGAATTCAAAGCAAAAGCAAGTGTTAAAATGTATCCTGAGTCTTCTAAACCTACAATGAGTGCACATTTAGTTCTAGAATTTAATGGTTTCTCTTCCATGGCAAATCAGGTATTTTAGCTGATATTATACACACAGACTATCTGCATAAACAGAACATTAAGAAATACTCACCTCAACGGGCATATTTGAAAGTGCATGATAGTCTTTGGGGTGGATGATGGATATGGTGTAAGTCGCCTTTTTGTTGGGCTCATCAAAACATGGGAAGGATTTCCTGGCATCTGTTGGTTCATGGTCAGTGGCCGCTATGCTCCTTAGAAATAAACACATAGACAGAATACATGCTGCCTCTTTTGACAGACCCTATGTTCTTATTCCTATACAAAAAAAATGATTATAACTATTATATTTCTTAACACAAGGTTCCATCTAGGAAAATTATCAAATAACTGTCAAAGTCTGTCCTGGAATTTTTAGATTGGCAAATCCATGAAAATCCAGAGACAAACAACTTCCTATATTTTATTTGAATATTTACACATTTTACAAATCTGTTCAGTGGGCCAAAATAAAATATGAATCATGACTCTCTCTATCCCAAACTCATTGAGCAACAAAGAGATAAATACAAAGCTAAACTCAAAGGCCTGTTTCTAACTGTCCTAGAGGTAGTGAGCAGCTGTATTCTGTCACAGAGCAGAGGAGTATCTTCCAGCATCTCCAGGTCCTATCCAAATGGCACATTCTGTCTTATTTATGTTATACCACAGACAGAAATCCAGTTTCATTTTCATGCAGAGGCAGTGCTGAGCAATTCCCCAGGTAAAGTAAACTTTGGCCTGATTTAAAACAAATCCACCTTTTGGGGCCGGGGATGTAGCTCAGTGGTAGACAGGTGCTTAGCATGTCTTAGCATCCCCAGCAATTTTTTTTTTCAATTTTTAAAAGCCCATTTTTGAAAAATACATCAGCATTCTCTTGTGACTCTAGGCATTTGCCTGTGTTCACTAAAATGTTAATGTTTATTATTTCTAGAATTTCAAAATGAAAATTTTGTTTTTGCTGAAAAATCTGCTCAAAATCAATTAAATATACATTTTATACCTGTAAACATATTAAAATAAGGCAACAGTGTTGTGTATTTGCTCATTGGAAAACTAAACAAAGTAAAAAGTATAAAAGAAAGGAAAAGTAAAGCAATGTTGATTTATATTCATTAATAATTTGTAAAAGGAAAATATTTTGTTCTTCAGGATTCTCAGAAGCTAAGGAAGGCCTATCATAAAGAGTACCAACTTAAGTTATCAATCATTCATTTGTCCCACAAATAGGTGTTGTCCCTACACACACACACACACACACACACACACATACACACATTATTCTAGGTGCTGAGGAAACAACAAAGAATTTATAGATAAGGTCCCTGATATCATATGAAAAGATAGACACCCAAACAACTCAGTCATTTAGAAGAGCAATGAGAGTTAAACAGAAATAAACCAGGGGAGATGGCCGACAGTGACCCAGGAAAAGTGATGAGCAATTTCTGGTAGAATAATCAAAGGGGAGCTCTTGGAATGAATGATGGTGTGCTGAGGTCTGGATAATCACAAGAAAACCAGACAAGTGAAGAATAAGGAAAATGTGTTCTAGCTCAGGGAGCAGTGAGTGCCAAGTCCTTCTAGTGAAAAAAGAACCTGGTGCAGTTGAGGAACTGAGAGGTGGTCAGCTGAAACCCAGTGAACCAGGTACTTGGGGAAAAAGAAGAGTTCAGCACAATCAGATGAGGAGAACAGGCCATGGGAACACTCTGCATTTTTATTTTGGTTCAAGGATCTATTATATACACTAATTTACCTAAAAAGTAATATGCCATAGGTCAACATCCATCCTAGGTAAAATTATCATATTTTTTAAATTTTTTCCAAAAGCTATCTGGATCTAAAAAAAATTTCTTGTTAAAAACTTGGCCAAGAAAACTCATCTATACTAAAAATAAATAAAACCAGAAGACTGGCTATCTTTCAGGAGAGTGTTGACTGAAAAAAGGGACATTTTCAGATGATTGGACAACTTTGTTTTCATCATAGAGATATAGATAGCAAAGATGGGCATATTTGTCACAGTTCCTTGAATCATGATCATTAGATTTGTACATTTCAATGTATTTTATCTAAAATAAGTATAAATAAATGTTAAACACGATGAAGTACATTTGTATTTTTGCAACGGTATGTGTTAGCAATTTGGAAAACATCCTTCTCCATTTCCTAAGCAGGCAAATGAAAAAAAAAATTGAAGATAATCTTTATGATAGGGCTTCCTTAGCTTCCTTAGCTTAGTAGATTCCTCACTGTTGGGTAAGGGAGTTATAGATTTGTAAAGGGAACACTAAACTGCACTCTGTGGGGCTGAATTGTAATGACAGGTTTCATTGTGATTTCAATGATTTTAAATAGAAGTATAAAAAGCAGATGATACATAAATACAGAGACATATATGCCCTTGCTTTATCTACTGAGCAAGACTGGAAACAATGACAGGCTTGAAGTAATGAGCACAATTAGTTCCCAGATGACTTTAAAATATCATTCTCTACTGAAAGAAACCAGGGCTCCTTGGAGAAATGGCTTATTCTGGTGCTGGGTCAGGAAAATTCCAAGATGATCTTGGAATATCTAACTGTGCCAAAAAGTCAGGAAATATTCAAAGAATCATGGGAACAAGTTGAAAGGACACAAGAGCCTGCTTGACGTGAGCACCACTGGACAAACTTGGGAGAACTGGAACATCAAAATAAATAAGGGAATTCATGAATCCATGAATCCTTATTCTGATTTTCAAAACAAATAAATAAATAGGGAGGAAGGAAAGCTCTTTCTTAGTTTGCAAACTCATAATTTTAGTAGGAATAATGGTCTTACAAAATCATCAGCGGTAAATTTCATCTCACTCCAATCAGAATGGCAGTCATCAAGAACACAAACAATAATAAGATGCTGGTAAGGAGGCAGAGAAAAAGGAACACTTTTATACTATTTTGGGGTCGTAAAAATAGTACGACCATATGGAAATCAGCATGGGAGTTCTTCAAAAGAATAGGCGTGGAACCACGGTATGACACAGCTATAGCACTCCTTGGTATTTACCCTGAAAAAGTAAAGTCATCATACTATAGTGACATGTGCATGTCCATGCTTACAACAGCACAATTCATAAGACCCAAATTACAGAACCACTCTAGGTGTCCATCAATGGATGAATGAATAAAGAAAATGTATACAATGGAGTTTTATTCAGCCATAAAGAAAAATGAAATTATGTGACTATGTAATTTGTAGGAAAATGGATGGAACTTGAGGCCATTATGTTAAGTAAAATAAGCCAAACTCATAAGGTCAAAGAGTATATGGTTTCTCTTACACATGGAAACTGGAGAGGAAAATGGATAAAAAGAAGTGATGTTGTGGAAGGTATTTTGAAAACCAAAGGGAGATCAGTAAAGGAAAGTAACTGCAGGGAGGGATGGATTCAGGAAATACTGGGGAATGATATTGGCCAAATTATATTGTTATATTGTGTGCACGTACATATATGTAACAACAAATTCCACCATTATGTACAACTATAATGCACCAGTAAAAAAAAAAAAAAGAAAACATGGAAAGAGAAGAAAAAGAAGAAAATAAAATCATCAGTGGATGTTCAAATAAGTAGGTAAAAGTTTGATGAGGGATATTTGCATAGTTTCAAAGAATCTTCAGAAAATTACTTATCAAGGAGAAATTGTAACTTTACAACAGACTCCAGTCCGAATGGCAGTCATCACTGTTGGATTCCATGTTGAGCGAGTGATTAAAAGTAGCATCACAAATAATAGTATAATCAACAGTCTCCTGATGTGATTTCCTAAAGGAATACAGTGATATTCCTGATGTGTTTAACTTGAATTTTTAAATCCTAAGAGTCAGATGATCTAAAATTAAGTGATATTCTCCAAACAATGCCTATGCTCTTCAAAAATATTGACACTGAGAATGATAAAGAAGGGCTAAGGGACTGTCCTGGTTTCAAGGAGTACAAAAATGCAATGCATGAGTCAAGATTGCATTCCGGACCAGAAAAAAAAATCAATTAGAACATAACTGGGTGGAAATTTGATTATGGACCATGGATTAGATAATTGTATTGTATCAATGTTAATTTTCCTGATTTTGGTAACTGTACTGTGATAATGTTAGAGGATACCACTGTACTTAATAAATATACAGATATTAAAAGAGAAAGGGAGAGAGCCCTCACTGTATTCTCCAAAGGGAGAGCAGGTGGACAGAGAAAGAAAGGGAGGGAGGGAACAGAGGAGGGAAAGTGGGGAAGGAAAAAGAGGGAGATAAAAGGAGAGAGAGAAGAAAAGGGACAAGATGTAAATGACTTCTGAATCTGGGTTAAATTATTTATTCTGCAGTAGAATAATTATTGATGAGTTGTGTGGTGTTAACAGTTTGGTAAACTGAAGTTCCTAACATCTTATAGATTATATTGAGTGCAAATGCATCAGAATAAAAACTTGTACACTTTCCCAGAGTGTTAAGTTGCGTACAGTGATCCACCAAGCTCCAACCCTATGATAAGTCAGTTGCTTTTGTTCTTCTGAATTCTGGAATCTGATTTTTTTTTTCCAGAAGCAGAGGAAAAAGAAAAGTCACTCCCTGTAAAAATGCTTCACCTTAATCAATAAGTCAGCTAACTAATTTGGGAAAGGGTGGGGGACTTCAGGTGGGAGGGAAAGTAGGGAGGGAGTGGATCATTTTCCAAATAACAGCCATTTTGCAGGTTTCCAAATACTCTATTTTGTCCTTGGGTAGATGCTAGATAAACTCCTAAGGACCCAAGAGAGAGAAGGCTTCTCAGTCCTTTAGTGTTCTCTCTTTAAAGGAGGTTCTGCTTGATAATAGGCAAAGCCTGCCTTCTGAAATCAGAGTATTCCTGAGCTTGCACATGGACCTGGGGCAGATCTGGCTTGGTTCGTCTTGGTGGTCTTCCCAGCAAATCACAGCAAGTCCAACTCCTTCACAGTGACCTGGATTTACATCAGTGCAGGCAAAGTGACATTCATCAACCAGCAGGGCCACAAAATGGGTATTTTTTTTCTTTGTTAAAGTGCAGGATCATATGATTTTAGGGTAAAGCCCTCTTCTAAAACTAAAAATTCTTAAATTCTAATCTTACTTTGATCCCTTAAGTGTGATTTTTAAGCAAGTCACAAAACCTTCCAACTTTTAGTGTCCTCAAACTGTAAAACCTAGTCAC